CTATTTATCCCAAAATAGCTGTCATTTTTATTTTAAATTTACCCAAAATTAATTGTAATTTTTTCATTTTTAAAATAAACATTTTTTTTTATTTTAACCTTATTGTTAATCATTCTATCACAAAAAATCTCATATTATTTTTTATTTCTTTTAAAAGTAATATAAGTAAATACATAAATTATCTCTAAATTCTTAATTTAAAAAAATAAAAATCTACATTTAATTTTCATCATAAGAGTATGTTTTTGAGAGAGTAAAATAAAAAAACCTATAGTTATAACAGTAGCACAAAATTCATATTAATTTTCAAATATTGAAAGGTTAGTAAAAGAGTAATTTTAAATTAGATTCTTAGTTTTTATTTTTTATACATTTAAAAACTATTGCTATACTTAAAAATAAAAAATTATTATAGAAATTTTAATTTATTAAATTTAATTTTAAAATAATACTATCCACTAAATATATAAAACATAAAAACAAAAAACCCAAAACTAAAAGTTAGGGATGTCAACGGGGCCCTGCGGGGCCGGGGACCCCTTCCCCATCCCCGTCCCCATGAGTCACGGGGACGGGGATCCCCGCGGGGATTTTTAACGGGAAGTAGATTTTGCCCCCCGTCCCCGTTCCCCGCAGGGATCCCCATTCCCCACGAGGAACGGTAGCAATAGCAATGGAAGCAGATGGCAGCAGATGGCTTCGTAGCAGCAGCAAATCGCTCTAGCAGTAGCAAAGCAGATGGATCCGATCCGGCAGCAGGCCAGCGGCAACAAAGCAGATGGATCCTGTCCGATAGCAGGCCAGCGGCAGAGCAGATTCATACAAGCAATGAATCATTGAATATCATTCACTTTTAGCAAATTCATACAAGTTTAAGCACCAAACATCAAGAAATTGCAGAATATGAAACAAAAACACCCAAGGCAAAAATTTTGGAGAAAGGCAGATCCAGATATGAAGGAGGGATCCCATGATCGGAGAAAATGGAGAAAGGGGGTTCTAGATGGGAGAAGAATCAAGTGATGACCGGTGATGTAGGTGGAAGCTATTGATCGGAGGAAAAATTTGAGAAAGGGGTTCTAGATGGGAGAAGAATCCAGCTTTTTCTTTTTTTTCTTCTTTTTTTTTTGCCGTCTGCAGCCTTTTTTGCCGTCCGCAGCCACAGTGGCTCCCCCTTTTTAAGGAGAAAGGAAAAGTAGGGTTTTTTGGGTTTGGGTTTTAATGGGTTAATTTGTGAAAGTGGTTATTGGGCTCAATATTTGGGTTTGGGTCAGATTTATTGATTAGGGTTAAATGTAGGGGAATGGGGTGGGTTGGGTTGGGAGTTGGGTTGGGTTGGGTTGGATTGGATAGTATTGGGTTAAGTTTAATTGTAATTGGATTGGATTTCAGTTTGGATTTGGGTTTGGGTTTGGGTTTAGGTTTGAGTTTAAAGAATAAATTAATTTTAAAATAAAAACTTTTTTTTTTGCAGGGATGGGAATCCCCGCGGGCCCCACGGGGTGGGGAAAATTCCCCGCAAAATCGCGAGGAGAAAATGGTTCCCATCCCCACCCCGAAAAGAGAAATATTCCTCCCCGTTCCGTCCCCGTGACGGGGATCTCCGCGAAGCCCCACGGGGACGCATCATATTGCTTCTTTTATTGGTAAACCAAATATTGTACGAAAACATTAATAATTATCATTTTTGCTTGTTTTAACGAAACATCTGCACATGAAAGCATTCATATACAATGAAGGAAGAAATCAGGAAATTTTGTTACTAAAAATATTAAAATATATAATAATTACATCATAAATTTAATAAAATTAAAACTCCATTAACATCTTCACACATACGGATAATTAACCGTTCTTAAATGTTTAATATAGAGTACTGATTTTCATTTTTCGCTATACAACAAAGAGGAAATTGTCTAATTATTAGGGTTCACACAAATTAAAGTAGATCTAATTTGTCTAGAAACCCAAAGTCCCAAACCCTAAATTAAACCCTAAATTAAAACACAGAAAGAAGAACAGATATTTCCAAAGAATAGAAAGGATGAGTCATATTTACCTGTAATTAATTGTTCTTCATCATTTTAATTTCAGGCATTGCTCATCATCTTCTTGAACTCCTCGAAATTCACGTTGCCGTCACCGTCCTTGTCGACTTGGCTGATCATCCTCTGGCAATCACTCAAGGTGCACTTCTCCCCTAGCTTCTTCAACACCTCATGCAACTCGCTGGCCGAAATCAGCCCGTTCTTGTCTAGATCGTACGTATCAAACGCCTCCTTCAGTTCCTTGGAGTTGTCGGCGCTGCTGCTGCTGCTACCACTACTTTGCGTGTGGAAGGCAATAAACTCATCCAGATCGACAGAACCGTCGCCGTCCGTGTCCAATTCCTTCATTACGCGCTTCACCTCTTCGGAGGAGGACGAAAATTCCAAGGCGCCGAGGATTTCCTTGAGCTCCTCGAAGGAGATCTTACCGTCGCCGTTCTTGTCATACTTGTTGAAGATCTTCGTGATCTGCTCCACGGATCCGAGATGACTCGACATTAATTAATTTATTATTATTATTAAGGATAAGAAAAAGTAAGGAATTTCTAGAATTAACAGCAAAGGTTTAGAAAACGAGTGGTTTATATATATACGGATTCGTACGCGGAATGGACGCGCTAAACCTCGAATTCAAAAATCCACGAGGCGTTTACTTTTGGAAATTGGAAGGGAAGATATATAGTGTGGTGAGATGCAGCTGCGATTCGTGGGGTTACAGGTTGAACAACTAATAGTCTTGTGACACCTGGCTATCGGTTAGTAGCCTTCCGTCTCGAATACCACATTTTTATTTTATCTTTTTTATAATATGATATGTTATTTAAATGATTAATTTTTTTAATTTATATATATATAGATGATGCTATAGGGAAAATTTTTTTATCTTATCTTTT